TCTGTAGAAACGATAATGGTGTTTGTTGTTATTGTCCTACATGGAAGGGAGAAAGATAATGTCTTTCACTCATATTTGATTTTTAAAATATTTTCTCTTAATTTTACTCTCATAGGAGAGAACAGAAGAGTTGCTGCTTTGTAGAAATGTTTAAAGGACAAGACTTAAGATATACATCCAAGTGCATGTGTATAAAACTGGCACTTTGGGAGGATGGGGTAAGACTATCCCAAGTTTCAGCCCAAAATGAGGAAATACATATTTCATGCCACCATGGCTTAGACAGTAGTCAACTGTTTCTATGAGCTCCCTAAAGCATCTTGGGAAATTCTTTGACTTTTTCTCTTCCACTCAATACTCCGAAAGATATCTTGCCTGGTATTTCATTCAAATATGTCAGATATTTCCCCTTTATTTTCCAACACCACTTCCAAGTAATATTAAAAATTTTCTTTCAGAAGTTGATTTTTTCAATAGCTGATAAACAATATCAAAGTTCACACTAAAAACTTGGGTATTTCAACAGCTATTTTTTTCTACATTTATCTACCTCTTGAGTGAGAGAAATCATGAATGCCAACGGCATTGCCTCATATAAGAAGTAATGTTAATATATGGTTTTTTATATCAAATTTGGATTCCTGACTTGGCTTTCACAATGTCTAATCAACTGACATAGCCACAAACATATTCTGCTATACTCCCTCAAAATAGTTTCATCTGTGTCTCTCTATCTACCTCTGTCTGTCTCTCTCTCTGTTTCTCTCTCACACATGCACACAATCACACACACATGCACACACAAACACATACAGCCTCCATGTAGATATGTAGATCCTGGTTTCATCGTTGCTTTTTAACAATAAAATCTTCATTTATCATACTATAAACCCTGATTGGATTGAGTGATCCTAAATTTATTCAAACATGTATCAAAAGCTTTAATGTACCATTCAAAATCAGTTAATTAGTCTGTCATTTGGACCTCACAGAAAAATGAGTATTCCATGAGAATGCAAATAAATGGATAGCACTTGTAAGGTAGGAGATTGTGAAGGAGAAAGCCTAATTTTAATAGATCATAATATAAACATACTAATAAACACAATTCCAGCAAGACCTGGTTTGTTGTAAAAAAAAGCTTAAATTTTCATGTTATTGCCTGCTAGATGTGCTGTTTTTTGGTAGAAAATTCCCATAGTCTATATTCAAAAAGTGATTGAAATTGATTTGTGTTGATTAAGTCCATCTAATAAATTACATATGTATTCTATGGCAAAAAGAAAGAGGTATAACATTATTCTGGTTTTTACAGAAAAAAAATACATGTTTCATAAAACTATCATGCAGCAAAAATGGAGAAACCACATCTAGAATTCATAAAGGAGGCAAAAAAACAATAAGTCTCAAAAATAAAAGGGTCAATCAAATAATGGGTAATTGAAATAAGTAGGTAACTTCTCAAAGGAAAAAATAAAAATGGCCAAAAATACATGAAAAAATATTCAGCAGGCTGGCTATTACAAACTTGTGAAGTGAAATAATATTACATCTCACTCCAGGAAGAATAGCTACCATCAAAAACTCAAAGAAAAATTTAAAACTTCGTGTGCAGTTGTGGGGGAACCTCTACATTATTGGTAGGATGTAAATGAGTACAGTCACTATGGAAATCAGTATAAAGATCCTCAGAAAAACTAAAAATAGAAATTCTATTTGACTGAGCTCTACCTCTTCTGGGAATTTTCCCAAAAAACTTACAGATGGGATTCACAGTGATCCTTGTGTATCCATGCATAAAGCAGCACAATTTGCAACATGTATATCTTGAAAAATATACCTCTTTATGTTAATAGGTACATTTAAAAGAAAAACAGAAAAAGAGATAAAGAAAAACACATAAACATTAAGGACAAACAGATGAAGAAAATATAGTATTTATAAAGCACAGAATATTACTTTGTGGTAAAAATGATAAATTGGAACCATTTATAGGAAAAATGATGCATCTTGGTATGATAATATTAAGTGAAATAAATCAGACAACATAGATTAAGTGTTATGTGGTTTCTCTTGTGTAAAAAAAACCCAAAGTATATGTAATTTAAAGACCAAAATAAAAGTTGGATGACTGCAAAAAGGAAGACAAACTTTAATTTTTTTTTCTGGTACCGGGAATTGAACTGACAACCTTGCGCTTGCCAGGCAAGTGCTGTGCCACTGAGCTAAATCCCCAGCCCAAAGATAAACTGAGAAGACAGGAAGGAACTTCGGCGTTTAGGATAGGTGGGAGGGAGAGGGAAAGGAAAGAGAAGTGATCAGGGTGGGATCTGTATACGTACCATTTCCCCACAATGAATGTACTTATTATATACTGCAAATCTATGTTAATAAAACATTTAAAATTACGTCCAACAACTTTCCTCAAGTATGTTATATATTTTCATTGTACATAATTAACTGATTAAAGTCTATATTTGCATTTTTAATGTATCTGCATAGTACACAGAAATAGAAATATCTTGAGCTAAATAGATCAAGGCAGAAGAAGTTGATGCTGGAGCATCAAAGTGAAATTGTGAAGTGCACATATCCTATATTCCTATATTGTGGTCTGTATTGTACAATACAAACGGTATGAATGAGGTCATTGCTTTTAAGGAAAATCATCATGACACCAAAATTCTCAAGTGGTTTTTTCTATGTGCTCACTTATTCAGTTAGGAAATAATAGGTAATTAATACCCAAACCCCTCATTCATTGTCAAATTGGTATAATTAAGAAAAAAAAATAAATTACTGAACTAGTAGTTTGATGGAGGATGATTCTTTGTGCAAACACACCAGCATATACAGCTTTGAACCCTCTCCAGAAAATGCCAGTGTTTGCATACATATTGTGGGTAGATCAATTCTGCTTTTTTTCAGTTGCTGTTCGATTTCTGATTTTCTGTTAAAAACCTACATGCTGATTGCCTTGTAAAGCCTAGAGGAATTCTAAAACAAGTGGAAATTGGGTTATTAATAAATTGATATTGTGTTTTTTTCTTTCCCATTAGATAGCATTTTTTCTTTTTCTTATTGCCTTGATTTCAATTCAATACTCAATCACAAGGAAATGGGAAAAAAGGGTTCATTCCAGGTTTCAGGCCACACAATTTTGCACACCCATGGCTGGGTGATCAGAATGTCCATTGATTTGTCTTCCCAGGTGGTCTGCTGTACACCAGCTTCTGTATTAAGAATCATGCCTCCTCTTTGAACAGTCTCCCTGTTTCCAAGTTTGGCGCTATATAATGGCAAGATCAAATATATCAGGAACACAACCCATGTGCTATGAAAGCAATTTAAATTCTCTGCTCTTGTGTTGCAGTATATCACTTCCCCCACCCAACTCTTGTCCTTCCCCCTTTTTGGTTCCTATTTGCAACCTTGGAGTGGATCAGAACTGGTGGCCTCCCAAATGAGGACTCTAATTGGTTTTGACTACTTCCCCCCTTTTCTCACAGGAGGACAAAGCAACTACTCAGAGACTGCTTTGCAGCCAGGGAGCTTGGCAAAGTACTTGGAAAGATGGCATCCAATATTATCTGAATTCCTTGCATCATGCTAAGACCTAGACTTTACATGATAATTGTGTGTTCTGCCACCATAACTGCAGGGCAGCATGCCAGTGAGCAGGCACACAAGGAAGCATCATTCTTTAATTTCTTTCTGTGGGTTCTCCTCTGTGATACCAATAGCACTCAGGTCTGTCTGTCTGTTTCCTGACACCCTCTGTAGACTTTGCTTTCAGCACTTACATGCAGAAAGAAGGAATATGGCAGGAGTCATACGACATGGCGAATCATGAAATAAATGGAGTTTCTTACTTCAGGCTTTCAACCAAATCTAACTGAAATACATTGTCCAGGGATTGAATGATTAAAAAAAAAGAGAGGGGGAAAAATGTATCCATAAAAAATGCAAAGGAAGTACTCAAGTTTCTGTGGTAACTACAACTGTCATGCTGATGAGCAATCACCTTTAGTTTCCACAAGTTTTCATTGTCTGTTTTTTTTTTCCTTATCTAAAATGACACACATTAAAAGGAACTGAGAAATGTGACATCGTTCATATCGACTCTGTGAAAATTTTGATTTGAAATCGTCACCCATGAAGATATACAAATTGCTCTAGCCTCAGATGAATGGAATGTTTTGAAATATTTAAAAAGATTTTTATTGCTATTTTATAAAAAAGGCAAAGGAGTATTTCTGCAAGCACACGCATTATGATGATGCATCTGGTCTCCCTTGAGTACACACCTTTGCTGTTTCATTAGAGTGAATATTAAAAGAAAATGACACCAAAATTTAGGTTAACAACATGGATCCTAGAGAATGCAATCCAATTACTATTTTTCAATATTTGTTTGGGATGTTAAAACAATCAGTTTACCTTCCCTTTCAAGACTCAATAAATACACAAATGAATAAATAAATAAATAAACTAAAATATTAAGTCCTTAAGACAGAACCATTTATTTTCCCTCTCAAGATGCAATAAGTAACTGAATAATTAAATGTCCTAACGTTGTAAATCTTTGATTAGAAGGAAATTTTCCTGATGTCTGTCAATTTTCAAACTTGAGAATTATATGTGCTTCATTCCATCATTTTATAGATTGGTTACTTTAGGGATGATTCAGGTATACGCCTATTACACTGCACATGTCCCTACCGATTAAATCAACAATAAAACCTTACAGCCATGTGAAGACAATCAACCAAAATAATTCAAGTCCGTAGTTCTAGTTTTCTTCCTCCACGTCAAACATATTAATGTTGCTGTGATACTACGTTGAGAATTGCAAACCAAAATAAAACAAACAAAAGAACAAATAAATAAATGAGTTAAAGATAACATCACCATGCACCAGATATTATGCAGGCTACCCGGCGAATCTGCCACCCAGCAGAACTGAGCTAGCTGCCTTACTATTTCAGGGAAGCACTTACCATCTTCCGTGGGAACGTAGATGTTTAAGTAGAGGCAGTCTTCGTTCTGATCTTGTACGTAAGTCATCAAGGTATCCAAATTGGCTGTAAACCAGATAGGCAGCATGTCATGCAACAAAGACCTCTCGTCCAGATGTTGGGGGCACACAGCTGCAAACTGAGTAGCATTTCGAATCCCTGTCCATGAGGACGGGGGTTCCGGAGGCTGGAACCGCCTCTCTCCAGTGGGAGGCGAGGCATAGGGCACCCCCAAATATTGCTCCACGGGACCCAGAATCTCATTGGGTAGTGGTGTTCTTAGGCCCCGGATTTTCCCGTAATTTGTGTTGACAACCGGGTAATAGGCCTGGCTGTCAATCACCGTGAACTTGACGGCTAGAGCTGTTATCCACAGGAGCACGTTGGAGTTGACCATGACGCAGACGGGAGTGCAGAACAGCGGGAGCCATAAGAGTCCCTTGGGCCTCGACATTGTTCTCCTCCACATCCGCAGGTGTCCAAGGGGGAGGACTCCAAAGAAGAGAAGCTGCGAATGAGGCCAGAGACTGGGGGCAGAGGGGTGTCCAGGGAGCAGAAGACCCAGGAGCTGTGGAGCACGAGGAGGACTGCTCTCCAAATGCTCATAGACGGAGCTGCATGTTAGGAAGCAGCAAGGCGCTTCACCTGGCAATCCATGGCTAGAGAGGACCCCTCTCTAATCTTGCAACCAGATGCCACCAACTGCAACACTTCCGGGAGGAAGCAGTGACCGTGCAACACCTCCCAGGGACAAGAACTCTTTATGGAAACTCCAAAGCAGCCTAGAAGGAAAAGAGAACAGACAGAATCATGAAGCCAAAGTAGCCAGCGTCTGGCACCCTGGCTGTCTATGCCATGCAAGTCACTAGAAGCTTTCTGACATTCATAGCTAATGGCGAATTTGAGTAGAAGACAGCAAGGTTAGTCATTTTTGCTATTTACCCTATCTCTTAGAACAGTGCTTAATGTTTAAGAAAATATGCAACAAGATCTTGTTCGGTGGAGTCCCAAAAGTTACACGCTTTCCACTGATAATTGTAAAGATTCACTCCAGTTTACTATAGTGTATAAGATTACTTAATCAATAGGCACATGTGCCAAAAGTAGAGTTTTTGCAATATTCAAGGAAATTGTCCTTTCTCTCTCAGGGAAATATGCACAGGTCCATGAAGACTTATCCAGTGTAGGGAAAATGGAAACATACATTAGAGCCAAACTTGATTCCTTGAGTTGTTAATATTTATCAGATATCACAAAATGCGGATCATTTATTGGAAAGCGTGGAAGCTTTGGGCATTAGTGCACATTGGTCTGTTTAATTTAATGTCTAGGTAGTACATTGCATTGAGTCTCAGCTTTCAAAACATTCAATAAGATAGCTCATTTCATTCTTATTTCATTTTTGAGGCTGGGTCGCACTATGCTCCCCAATCTAGACTGAAAGTTGAGACCCTACTGCCTCAGCCTCCCTAGTAGCTGAGATTGCAGGCCTGTACCATCACATCAGGTAACATGGTGCGCTTCAAGCACATCTTGAGGAGTCTGTCAGTTGATGGCAATCATGACTAAAAGTATTGATACTGGCATCTGTATATGACTTCACACTTCAATGGTACATTCTTCGTGCTGCAGCTCTGTCAAAAGCAGGTGCTACCCTGGCATGGCCTTCTGTGGCAGTTTTGCTCTAAAATATCCTGCCAGCCTGGTGCGGCGGCACGTGCCTGTAATCCCAGCACTCTGGAGGCAGAGGCTGGAGGATCACTGCGAGTTTGAAGCCAGCCTGGGGTTACAAAGTGAGTTCAAGATCAGCCAACTTGAACTGCAGAATGAGGCGCTGTCTCAAAAAGACAAGTTAAACAATAAAAGAATAAAATGCCCACCCAAATTCTCATATGCCTGCAAGGCGGTTGGATCACTGGGTCGTTTTACTCATCAATGCAGTCCACTGCTGATTAGGTCAGTAGCTGAATGTGCTGGTTCAGCATAGACCCTGGTCAGAAGACTTTGTTTGCTCCGGGGTGACCTCCAAGGGTGTATCTCCCTCCCCGGCTGCTTGCTCCCCGCTCTGCTTCCTGGCTGATGTGATGTGAACAGCTCTCTCCCATTGTGATTCCACCATGCTATTTCTGCCGTGGAGCCAACGCCCATGGAGTGAGGCTGTGAGCCCAAACACGCCTTCTCTCACTTACGTAGTGACTGTTGCACATTGTATCTCAGTGACAGGAAAGTGACCAAGACACCTCCTATTGGGCCCAGCAAAGGGTGAACATTCAAAGTCTCACCTCTCCCAGCTATCCCCCTGCTGGGTATTTTCCCAGAAGATCTAAAAACATCATATCACAGTGATGTATGTGCACCTATGTTCATAGCAGCACAATTTGTAATTGCTAAATTGTGGAAGCAACCCAAATGTCCATCCACCGAGGATTGGATAAGAAAATTGTGGTACTTTTATATAATGGAATATTACTCAGCTGTAAAGAAAGATAAACTCGAGTCTTTTATAGGTAAATGGTCACAACTAGAGACCATACTCATAAGTGAAATAAATCAAACATATATGTGCAAGCACTGCATTGTCTCACTAGTGTAAAACCTGAAGGAGTTAATTTAAACTAGGAGGTATGATAGACATTGTGAATTGATAGGAAAGCACTCAAAGGTAAAGGGCAACTGGGATGTGGGAAAAGAGAAGGAAAAGAAGGAGAAAGTTTGTATGTATGTACATGCAGGATAGTCAACATGGCTGTTCTACTGTCTTCTATTTCTTTGCTGAAAGAAACTGTCAGTGAGTTCTTGGTTGATTAGCTTTCCATGCCTATGTCTGTTTTCATGAGAAACCACTTTGAAGATATCAATATGTAATACAGCAAGCATTGTTAATTTCCTGCCACTTTGTTTGTAACTCCGTACTGTCTGTACTGTTCCTTTACTATTTTGTAAAATGTTGTCTGTCTGTTAACATTTTCCTCCTTTTATTTTTAAAATAAAAATAAAAAAAAACAAAGTCTCACCTCGACCATTTATCTATACATACATTCGAGTAGCCCCAGATAAATCACTGTCCTTAGAGCAATGAAGAATATTACACATCAGCAGACAGTATGGTAAATGATATTGTAGGGATTATAAGGACAGAGGATATTTCATCAGATGTTGCAAAGAAATACCTGTAAAAATAGTACTCACCAACTCAGACAATAGACACACATGTTTACCAGTATGCTGTAGAGGGACACACATGTTTACCAGAGTATTACTACACTAGGCTGTGAGTACATGTGGAATATATCAAAAAACTATAGTTCTAAAAACTAAAAATATATCAGAGCTGGATCTGTCAAGGAACCCTCATGCCACTGGGGGACATCCTATAGTTTATAGCATACAGAGCAAAGCAAATCAGAATTGAATGCAAAGGCACTAAAATCCTGGATTGTTACTTGGAAAATGACTAATAGCGTTCCACCAAATGGCTCATTTATATGTTTGCTTCTGTCACTGAATTTTCCTATATACAACACTTGGTTGTCTGCCAGGCAGTGATCCAATTTCTGAATAATTAAGAAACAGACAAGAGCAAGAAGGAGGTAATGACATATGTGGAGGCTTGTTTTCCTGAAATCCTGCCTGCGTTTAAACTGTTGTTCCTTTTTGTTTCCGCAGCCTTCCTTCATGAAAGAGGAAACGTCATTTACTTTAGTCTGGCCTGACTTAAAATTTGGGTCCTGGGTCCAGCAATGCTTTGCTTATGATCGGAGGGAACTGTTTACACCTCCGTGGACCTTCACAGCAGCAAGTGGCACCATATGCAAAGGGCACATAACATGAGATATTCAAACATACTGAGGGTTGGAAAACAGTGATCTGGTCAAAAGACAGTTGCTTAGATGGACACAATTTAAAGCTCTATTTCTGCCAAAAATTGGTGTTGAGTGGGCTTTAAAACAGCTAATTCAAAGTCTTTGTGTCGGGGCTGGGGATTTCGCTCAGCGGCAAAGCGCCTGCCCGGCAAATGGAAGGTTGTGAGTTCGGTTCCCGATACTGGAGAGAAACCAAAAACAAAACAAAAAACAAAAAACAAAGTCTTTGGGTCTCACTTCACTTATATGTTTAAAGTTTCTGGGGATGAAATGAGAAAGTATAGCCAAATTACCACATGATACTAGGAACAGGGAATTCATTCAGTGTAGACTTTAGTAGGAACATTTCTCCAAGTGGCCATTAAATAGCCAATTTTATCCACTCTTTATGTTCCTTAACTTAACAGGGATGAGAATATCTGCAAGGCACGGAGGGTTTATGACAGACCAAGCTGGGGGACACTAAGAAAGATTTCATGCTTGGAGTTGTATGACCATGTTCTATATAATTCTGTCTCTCCACCAGGTTCTCAGCAACAGTGGTAGATTATAAACCAGGTGTTATTAAGAAGCGGGGCCCTGAATTTCTTCACACTTACAAGATCTATATCAGGCATTCATAAGGTGTGCATGCTAAGCCCTCTACTTTTTTTATAAATTTGCTTATATTTCTAAATCAGCTAATTTACATGTATGTAATATCATCTAAAGCCTAGTGTAAAAAAATAAATAAATAAAAATGAAATAAAATTTAAAAAATAAGTGCAGTGTTTCACAATACCTGCACCACTGACATTTTAAACTATATCATTCATTCTTTGTTGTATGGTCTCTCTCCTTTGCCTTGTGGAGTTCTGGGTCGCAAATCTGGCCCCTACCTAGGAGGTACGCAGAGCAAACACTTTGAATAAATGAAAAAGGTTTAGATATTATTAAATGAACACTGGAGGACAAAACAACCTCATGATGAGAACCACAGATTCAAGAAGTCAAGGAAGGGATTCTCATGGTCATCTAAATGATTACAACTCCACTTTGATTTAAAGATTGTAATAAACTCTGTGTACACGGGCATATGAGTTTTTATGCTCATGTATATATGCCACATTCAACACTCACCAACACTCAGATTTTCAGCATTGTAAGAAATTTTGATCTGTGAAAGTAACACAATTAGTTGGGTCTCGTCATCATTAAATAATCATGGACATGTAACCAGCAAACATATCCTTGGAAGCAAAGGAAATAAGATCTACTGTGTGAGTTTCACAAACTGGAAAGTGTTTTCTGGGAGCTTAACTGCTATAGAGAGAGAAATAAGATAGACAGATATAGAAAGATAGATGATAGATAATTAGATAGATAGATAGATGATGGATAGATAGATAGATAGATAGATAGGCAAATAGATGATAAATACAGGATAGATAATAGATACATAGATGACAGGATAGATAGATGGTAAATGGATAGATAGATAGATACACACATACATACATACATAGATACATAGATACATACATAGATACATAGATAGATACATACATACATAGATACATACATAGATGATAGATACAGAGATGATAGATAACAGATACATAGATGAGAGATGATAGATAGATAGATGCTAGATAAATAGGTAGGAAGGTGGACAGATGGATGGCTGGATTGATGGATGGGTGGATAAATGGGATAATAGAGAATAGGTAGATAGATAGATGGATGGATAGATAAATAGAGGAATGATAGATACATAGATTCACACATAAATACATAAATATATTGATATATAGACAGATAGGAGGATGGACAGATGTATGGATGGATTGATGGATGGAAGGATGGATAAATGGGAGAAGAGATAGATAGGTAGATAGATAGATGATAGATAGATAATAGATACACATATACATACATAG